TAAAAAACATATTCTGTGTTGAGAATAAGAGAAGGTAGAGGGGTTGGATTGGCGCAGTGATAGGGGAAATTACTGAAAAACAGATAAAATGAAGAAACAGGAGTCTGACGTGAAGGAGGAGAAGGAGGGACTTGTTTGTGAGGCCATTAGGATAATGATGCACCTCACCAGTCGTCAGAACGGTATTTCATGTTAGGTGAGACAGAGAGTGTATAAAGAAGTAGGAGGTATGCTGTGGTAATGTATAGATGAACTCAAAAATAGGGAAACTTAAAACTTCTGGATGTATTTAGTTTAGATGTAAGGATTATGGTGATTACGTGTGGGGCTTTCAGTTTAGATAATATCAAGAATACTGATGTGCGTGGGGGGTATTAGAGAGAGAGGTTTTATTGGTTAAAAATATTAGCTGGAAATTATTTTATCAACAAGAGTATATATTATTGTTTTGTTTTATCTTAATATGTCAAGGTTATTTAAAGATTTTTGAGCAGCTGACTCAAGGTATGTGTTTGTGATCTAGGAGGAGTTTGAGCAGTCATTAAAACTAGACTTTTATGTGGGGTAAAGTTTTCACCAAAAGAAGAACATAAGAACATAAGAAAATAAGGAGTCTACAATAAGCCGGTTGGCCTGTGCATGGCAGCTCCTGTCGAGAGTTACTACCACTCTATCATCCATGTATCTATCTAGCCTCCTTTTGAAACTTTCCAGAGTTCCCGCACTTACTACAAAGTTGCTAAGCTTGTTCCACTCGTCCACACCCTATTTGTAGACAGTTTCTTCCTATCTCCCTCCTAAACCTAAACTTATCCAACTGATCCATTGCTCCGAGTCCTATCCTGCTCGGATATTATAAGAACTTTATCTATATCCTTTATTGATTCCTTTCACCACTTAAATACTTCTATCATATCTCCCACCTCTTCGTCTTTCAGGAATGCAAGTTAAGTTTCTTACCTATCCTGATATGGAAGGTTTCTAAGTGGAATCATTTTTGTCATTCTTCGCTACACCGACTCTAGTATTTATATCCATTCTATAATAGGGGCACCAGAACTGAACCGCATAATCGAGGTGCGGCCTGACTAGCGCAAGATATAGTTTCAATAAGACCTCTGCACTCTTGTTACCACTTCTAGATATAAAACTCTGTTTGCCTTATTTCGAACATTAACGCACTGTTTTCTAGGCCGTAGGTCCGGGCTTACAAGTACCCCTAGGTCTCTTTCACAAGTCGACTTCTCTAGGTTGATGTTGTTAAGGCTGTATACATTATAAGTATTTGTTCTTCCAATATTAAGTACGCTGCACTTACTGGTGTTGAATTTCATTTGCCATTTTTCAGAGGGTGTGATGCTAGAAAAAACGGAGAGAAATTCATCAGTGTTGAGTGAAAATAGGAAAGGAACGTGCAATAAATCTTTATTACTTGACACTGTTGGGAAATTAATCAGATTGGTGGATGAATAGAAAAGACATTTAGGAAAGTTAAGAAGCAACGGGAGGCAATGAAGGAAGTTTGTTAAGGAGAAACTGATGTTAGATCTAGTCAAAAGGTTCATAAATGTCAACAGTAAGAAAAATAGAAGCTTTAAATTATCAGAACCGCAGGCAGGTCTTTGAGTTAGAAAATTGAGCAATACTTCATTGAAATGAAAACGGAATTGGACGTCAAAATGGAGATGGTGTATTTATAGGTGTTTGTTGACGTCAGGTTTCATAACTCTAAAGATGAGTAAGGCGAGAGGAGATGGATTATTTTATTATGAGGAAGAGACTAATTATTAGTTTATTTCAAAGATGAGTGCACAGCATTGGGGAAGTAAATCAATTAAGATGCCTATAAAGGATAAAATCAAGTTTGAATGTACTATATCCAAGGAGAATAGATAGGGATTTTCGTTGGTTTGTGACTGGGAATATTAGCAGGGATTGGAGGGGATAATTTAGAGTCGTTTCTGGAAAAGAAAGGTGAGACGTGGAAACAGGATAAACGAGTTAAGTTTTGGACAAACCTTGAACCTAAAACACTGGTTAAAGTTCATCTTGGTGTGTGGTAGAGATCGTCGGCTTAGTTATATTGGCTTTGCAAAAGTTATTGTACATAAATACTTGCCTAATAACCAAAATTACTTATCACTAGTTTGTCCTGAATTACCGTCACATAACACAGACTAATCAAGAAGCTATTCCTTTATAGTTGTGGCATTAAAGATTTGCTGAAACAGTGTGATAGTTGAGGCCTTTGTTCTGTAACATAATTAAGGCCATGTCATCAGTGCAACATTTTGGAGTTTCGGCTCTGTGATGAGGACCAAAACAAGGCTGGGCAGAGTCCTCGGCTCTGTTGAGGACCACAATGGAGAGGGGGGAGAAAGGGGGAGGGTCCTCGGCTCTGTTGTAAGAGGACCACAGTAGAGAAGGGGAGGTCCTCGGCTCTGTTGTAAGGACCACAGTAGGAGAGGGGGGAAGGGGAGGGTCCTCGCTCTGTTGTAAGAGGACCACAGTAGAAGAAGGGGAGGGGGTCCTCGGCTCTGTTGTAAAAGGACCACAGTAGGAGAGGGGGGGAAGGGAGGGTCCTCGGCTCTCAAGAGGACCACAATGTAGGAGAGGGGGAAAGGAGGGTCCTCGGCTCTCATTGTAGGGACCACAAGCAGGAGAGGGGGAGGGTCCTCGGCTCTGTTGTAAGGACCACAGTGGAGAGGGGGAGAGAGAAGGGGGAGGGTCTCGGCTCTGTTGTAAGAGGACCACATGAGGAGAGGGAGGGAAAGGGGGAGGGGTCCTCGGCTCTGTTGTAAAAGGACCACAGTGGGAGAGAGGAGGGTCCTCGGCTCTGTTGTAAGGACCACAATGGGAGGAGGGTCCTCGGCTCTGTGTAAGAAGGACCACAGTAGGAGAGGGGGAAAGGGGAGGGGTCCTCGGCTCTGTTGTAAGAGGACCACAGTAGGAGAGGGGGGGAAAGGGGAGGGTCCTCGGCTCTGTTATAAAGGACCACAGTAGGAGAGGGGGAAGGGGAGGGGTCCTCGCTCCTGTAGGACCACATGAGGAGGGGGGGGGCATATCAGCCTTGTGGCGAGAGTTCCGCTTTAATCCTACACTCGTGGGAAAATGCTTAATACAGTTAGGTTTTATTGCATAATTTAACCCCGTTTATAGCCGCTCATTTTTTTATTATTTTACCTGTTTAAGTTCTGTTTTAGCTCTCTATTAAACCCGTGCTTATTATGGTCTGTATTTCCTTTTTGTAAATACATTTTGAAGTTTCTCTAAACTCCCAACCTAAAACCAACTTCATTTGTCACGAGCTTTTACGTATTTGTCTACGTGTCACAGCGGCACCCCAAAAGCTTTTCAGATTACCGAGTGCCTCCAGAGACGCTCTTTATTTCATGTCACCAGGGAATTGTCCTTTATATCTCAGTGTTGTGGGAGAACTACTTTATATCTCTTATTATTACAAGGACAATATTTCAAATTTTAAAGCGTAACAGGCAACATAATCAGTATTTCACAATTTGTCACTTTAGAAATGCCAAATATTTTCCGATATAACTAAAAAAATATTTGACATTTTTCCCACAATAACTTGAGGGATACTTCATATTGCCAACTATGCCTAGAGAAATGATTCCTCACTATCGCCAGGAATGTTCTGCTTATTTCATCCTGTTACATGAATTATTTTTAATTTTTCCGAGTTAACCATCCAGCTTATAATCCCCCAGTGTCCTCTTTTCTTGACGGTGTGAAGTCCGTGTATCACATTAACACCAATATATTATTCCTATAAATATCATGACTTATGGATATGAAAAAATGAGCGGCTCCAGAAACTATACGCATATTCCCTCTAAATGTGGCCAAGAATGATGCACAACTGTTTTTGCAGGACTAATTATGAAATGATGAGCGCGTAAGAACTTCAGGGCCTTATGTTTTGTTTTCAAATTTTCATGGAGGGGGAGAAAGAGTGAAGAAGCGAGGCAGAGAAGGAGGGGAGGATATGGATCGGCGGATAACTGGTGACCGGACCCTCAGAGACAGGTCTGGATCGCTGTGTAACACTTTATGTTAACATACTCTCAGTAATAACAATATGCACATTATTCATATCCTTGTCTGCTTGCCTACAGCATTCACATGGAACAGTTGCTGGTAATGCATTCTCTCTGAGCCGGAGTGCGCCTGCGTCAGCCAGGCCCAGCGTCCCCAGGCTCATGTGAGATCATTCGTGCTCGGGACGTTTGGGCGAGCGTGTGTTTGTGAGTCTATGACAGCGGTGTCCACCTCGCTCCTCACTTACAGTGTGAAAGGCGTTGAGACTCTTAATGATTTTTAGGTGTCCCTCTCACTACTTTACATATATTCTGTGATTATTCCGAATAGTGTAACTGGTACCTGTAACTTAAAATGGATTGTTAATGTTTGTTGGAGTTATTGTTTGCGATAAACTGGTTAAATCAAAATGATTTATATGAATTTAAAAATAAGTGGAAACCCATATTTTCCGGTTTACTGAGTTGCAGTCGGAAACATCCTTATAGATCCCTCCTAGTGACAGTGATTGGTGTTAACAAGACCAAGTAAAATTGCGAAGTGACGGGTGGTGAAAGTGTGGGAGGAGTGGTGTGTGGTGGAGGTGAGTGTGGTGAGGCAGCCACTATGACCACCACCAAGCACCACACACCCACAACCATGACCACCATCAGGCACCACATCCCTGCTTGCCTGCCGCTCTTACTATTGCTCCTCCTCTGCCCAGCACCTGCCCCAGGTAGGTCCTCCCCCACCCACGCCTCCCGATGTATCATGTGGAATGCTGCTGTAGGTGGTCCCCCAGGTGTAACACGGGGCCTGCTGCAGTAGGTGGTCCTCCTGCTGTAGGTGGTCCTCCAGGTGTGTCACGGGGTATGCTGCTGTAGGTGGTCCTCCAGGAGTGTCACGTGGCCTGCTGCTGATCCTGGTGTGTCACGAGGCTGAGGTGGTCCTCAGGTGTGTCACAGGGTCTGCTGCTGTAGGTGGTCCTCCAGTGAAGGGCCTGCTGCTGTAGGTGGTCCTCCAGGTGTGTCACGGGGTCTGCTGCTGTAGGTGGTCTGCTGCAGGTGATCCTCAGGTGTGTCACGGTGTCTGCTGCTGCAGGTGGTCCTCAGGTGTGTCTGCTGCTGTAGGTGGTCCTCCAGGGAGTCAAGGGGCCTGCTGCTGTAGGTGGTCCTCAGGTGTGTCACAGGGCTTGCTGCTGTAGGGGTCCTCCAGGTGTCACGGGGTCTGCTGCTGTGGGTGGTCCAGGAGTGAAACGGGCCTGCTGCTGTAGGTGATCCTCCAGTGTCACGGTGTCTGCTGCTGCAGGTGGTCCTCCAGGTGGGGCCTGCTGCTGTAGGTGGTCCTCAGGAGGTGGTCACAGGGGTCTGGTAGGTGTGTCACAGGGTCTGCTGCTGTGGGTGGTCCTCCAGGAGTGTCACGGGGTCTGCTGTAGGTGGTCTGTGTCTGCTGCTGGGGTAGGGGTCTGCTGCTGTAGGTGGTCCAGCAGGTCACGGGGTCTGCTGCTGTAGGTGATCCTCCGGGAGTGCTCTGCTGCTGTAGGTGGTCAGGGTGTCACGGGGTCTGCAGCTGTGGTGTCCTCCGGGGAGTGTCAGGGACCTGCTGCTGTAGGTGGTCCTCAGGAGTGTCACGGGGTCTGCTGCAGGTGGTCCACCGGGACCTGCTGCTGTAGGTGGTCTGTGTCACCAGGTGATCCTCAGGATTGTCACGGGTCTGCTGCTGTTGGTGGTCCTCAGGAATGTCACAGGTCTGCTGCTGTAGGTGGTCCTCCAGGTGTGTCACAGGGTGCAGGTGGTCTGTCACGGGGTCTGCTGCTTTAGGTGGTCCAGGAGTGTCACAGGGTCTGCTGCTGTAGGTGATCCTCCAGGGTGTCACGGGGTCTGCTGCTAGGTGGTCCAGGTGTCACGGGGTCTGGGCTGTGAGTGGTCCTCCAGGAGTGTCGGGACCTGCTGCTGTAGGTGGTCCAGGAGTGTCACGGGTCTGCTGCTGTAGGTGGTCCTCCGGGAGTGTCACTGGGTCTGCTGCTGTAGGTGGTCCAGGTGTGTCACGGGGCTGCTGCTGTGATCCTCCAGGATTGTCACGGGGTCTGCTGCTGTTGGTGGTCCTCCGGGATGTCACGGGGTCTGCTGCTGTAGGTGGTCCTCCAGGTGTGTCACGGGGTCTCCTGCTGTAGGTGGTCAAGGAGTGTCACGGGGTCTGCTGCTGTGGTCAGGAGTGTCAGGGGTCTGCTGGTCACACAGGGCCTGCTGCTGTATGTGAGGTGTGTCACGGGGCCTGCTGCTGCAGGTGTCACAGGGCCTGCTGCTGTGGTGGTCCTCCAGGTGTCTGGGGCCTGCTGCTGGGTGGTCCTCCAGGTGTGTCATGGGGTCTGTTGCTGTAGGTGGTCCTGCAGGTATGTCACAGGGCCTGCTGCTGTAGGAGGAGTGTCACGGGGTCTGCTGCTGTAGGTGGTCAGGAGGTGCCATGGGGCCTGCTTGCTGTAGGTGGTCCTCCAGGAGTGTCATGGGGTCTGTTGCTGTAGGTGGTCCTGCTATGTCACGGGGCCTGCTGCTGTAGGTGACCCCAGGTGTGTCACGGGGTCTGCTGCTGTGGTGGTCCAGGGTGCCATGGGGCCTGCTGCCCCCAGGTGTCCAGGGTGTGGGCCTGCTGCTGCAGGTGACCCCCAGGTGTATCACGTGCTGCTGTAGGTGGTACAGGAAATCTGCTGCTGGCTGCAGGTGATTCACGGGGCCTGCTGCTGTAGGTGACCCCCAGGTGTATCACGGGGCCTGCTGCTGTAGGTGGTCCAGGAGTGTCACGGGGCCTGCTGCTGTAGGTGACCCCCAGGTGTATCACGGGGCCTGCTGCTGTAGGTGGTCCAGGAGTGTCACGGGGCCTGCTGCTGTAGGTGACCCCCAGGTGTGTCACGGGGCCTGCTGCTGTAGGTGGTACAGGAGTGTCACAGGGCCTGCTGCTGTAGGTGGCCCCCAGGTGTGTCACAGGACCTGCTGCTGTAGGTGGCCCCCCAGGTGTGTCACAGGGCGTGTTTTTGCAGTTAAACTGATATTAATATATATGCTTGGAAACCCATTCACACACACACACACACACACACACACACACACACACACATATCCCTAAGTGACTTCCACCACCACGCACTAGCAGGGTTTGGCAGTGGACTACTGCACCATCCTCGTCATCGCCACCTACTGACACCTGCAGTTCCCCGCCCACCTCGAGCAGTCCGCCACGACAACAAAATTCAGCCCACAAGAGTCCACACTGATAGATATAAGAATAGCACCATCCCATCTATTGTTAAAATAATAAACAGCTCCCGATTTATGTTCTGTACAGCCCTGTAAATGTGTTGAACGCATATCATTATGTCTAAATCACATGTAAGTTTGTGTATTTTCAGCCACTGGCTTCAACTCTATTAATAAACCGTTTATTATTATTATTATTATTATTATTATTATTATTATTATTATTATTACACACACACCCACACACACACACACTACTACTACTACTACTACTACTACTACTTTTTTTTTTTTAAACGTGGCCTCCAGCCTCCCCCAATAGCCATACCTTCACCGCCATTTTATTACCTTAATATTAAATATCCTAATACATAAGTAGCTATCCTATCTGTGTTGAATTAGTTGAGACGCAGATCTATGCGGCATTCAGTGACTGTAGCCTCATAGTCAATATCTGCAGCAGTTGTCGGCATTGGGGCAGAAGCTACTACTACTACTACTACTTTTACTACTACTACTACTACTACTACTACAACAACTACTACTTTTCTGTCACTCGAAATCGAGTATGACGATCATCCAGCTATGGTACAACTAACTCTGGGGTGACTCAAGAGGCCGATACGGGACCGGCAGGGTCGTACACAGATGTGGCACATGTGGAGGGCTACGTCTAGTGTGGGAGGGGCGGCGACAGCGTCTTTCCGGCTCTGGTGCTTGTTCGCCTCGGTATGCAGTCGGGCGAATGCGAAAGTATTGATTGCTTCTCGTGTGGTGCTCTTCCAAGCGTTACAGTGTGGAATGATCGTCTCCCAGGTGAGGGGGTCGATTTGGCACTTTTTCAGGTTTGTCTTAAGACTATCCTTATACCTTTTCAGTTGCCTACCAGTGTTCCATATATTATTCGTTAGGTGACTGTAAAGTGGCTGCTTTGGCAGTCTACTGTCGTCCACACACACACAATATTATCTCTCCCTCCTACTCCACATATCAAAAGGCGCTCATACACTGACCCTCTCGGCTCTCTCTGATCATCACCATGGTCTCATCTGCAAGTTTGGGTAGAAGCTTCTGCACCATCCTTGCCATTATCTCTTGCTTCTACCCGAGATCCCACGTACGTGAATTGCTTTTCGAAACTACAACCGCAGCCAGCCCATACGAGCACTTAGTTACTTTTGTACTGTTACTGTACTGAAGTTTCCCGTTAAACGCCCTCCCCCTCCCTTGTTGTTATGTAGTGTATTTGTACCACTTATGTCACTTACAGTATATATTATTTGCCAGTCAAGTGACCCATTCCCCATTATGTATCATCTCTGTTGGCTGTATGTTTTCAGCTCTTTGGCTGCCATGTTATTTCAGTAAATTGTTAATTATTATTATTATTATTATTATTATTATTATTATTATTATTATTATTATTGTTGTTGTTGTTAATACATATATATATATATATATATATATATATATATATATATATATATATATATATATATATATATATATATATATATATATATATATATATATATATATATATATATAAATATATATATAACTAAAGCAACGGGATGAAACTTGATGAAACTGCTAAATCTTCTTTATTGACGTTTTGGACAACATTATCCATCATCAGAATACTGAAAATTTCAGGAGTGATGAACACGTAACAAATTCACATGGTTCAGCCAGTTTATACGAACACTTTTTTATATTACTGTATTTGAAAAGCCGAATATTAAAAAAAAAATTTTACCGGACAAAATAGTTGCGGAAAATATGAAACTGGAAAACATATCCGAAGTGACGAAATATTATCGTATCTAAGCCTGTTTAAGGAAACCGGTTGCTCACTCTATGCCCATAAAGCTTAGCTCTTCATAACGCTATACTAGAAGTCAATTCCTATCTTTACATCATATAACTAAATGAGAGATTAATTAAGTTTTCAAAACAGATACTTGCAATAGATTATAAAAAAAAATTCTTGTACCAGTTTTGCAACCAATTATGACGAATCTGTATACTTTTGAGAGTTCATATAACTTGTCAAAGGTATTACGAATGACTCATAATAATTCAGTGATGGTCAATTTTGATATGTACTCTACAAATATTCCAGAAGAGGATTTTGTTAATATTTCGGTATACACGTGATTTTTTGACAATGCTTATATCTGGTTTAATAAAAGATAAATTTAATTATTTATTAATGTTACCAAAGGTTATGTAAATTGTGCTGTATCTACCCTGTCCCAAATAAGCCTGTGGAGGCTTCCCTAAGACTAACCCGTTAGGTTCAAATTTTGCAAATGCTTTTTATTATTATTATTATTATTATTATTATTATTATTATTATTATTATTATTATTATTATTATTATTACGAAACAATTCGGCTGGACAAGAGCACTTATTTTTAATTTGAACTTGTGAATTAAATGACGATCTAAGAACTCTGACTGAAAGTTCAATGGGTAATTGCTTTACTCTTTGGACTTGAATTTGATTGTATGTATGATTTTGTATTCATGTATGTTTTATATTTTCTATATTCAATTTGTTAATGGCATATACAAGTGTGACTGTATACAATGGCTTTGGGTTTGACTATTACATTATTTGGGTCTCGTCGTCGACAAGCACAACACATTCGCTGTATGGAGTTGGTGGTGGAGCAGCCGATGTGTAAATAAATAACAATAAACGTGGGTGACGAAGCATCCCCCTTGATATGGTTGGCCAGCATGATTAGGTACACCTATGTTGACGTATGTTTCTCTGTCGCCAGGTAATTATATAAAACCTTTTCGTATTGTGTTAGAAGACATGTTTGCTATACTTTGTCAAAGGGTTTTACTATATCTTAGAGTATGGTATTAGTGATTTTTTGGGGGAATAATGTAATTTCGTGTGACAGGATAATTAAGTATTCGAGTATTGTGTTGTATCATCGTCAATGTTAAGAACTTTTTACATACAGTGTTGCCATATCTATTTTCTCTTGTGTATAGCTACTTAGAGTTTTTTTATTTGTAATTTATTCTTCATTTTCGTTTTCTGAAATACGAGATATATTAACTCGTTCTCCTTAAAATGCTTGATCATTTTTTTTCCTTTTGTTTTTCTTCAATTTATATCTAAAATGTAGAGAGGACCTTGTTTACCTGTACTCATAGATTGTTTATTGATTTCTAGAGATAGTTAACTTGCTTCTAGAGATTGTTTACTTGTTTTTGGAGATTGTTTATTGATTTCTGGAAATTGTTTATTGATGTCTAGAGATTGTTTACTTGATTTCTAGAAATTGTTTACTTGTTTCTAGAGATTGTTTATTGATTTCTAGAGATTGTTTACTTGTTTCTGGCGATTGTTTATTGATTTCAAGAGATTGTTTATTGATTTCTAGAGATTGTTTACTTTTTTCCAGAGATTATTTATTGCTTTCTAGAAATTGTTCTCTGATTTCTAGAGATTGTTTACTGGGTTTTAGAGATTGTTTATTGATTTCTGGAAATTGTTTATTGATTTCTAGAGTCTGTTTACTTATTTCTAGAGATTGTTTACTGATTTCTAGAGATTGTGCATTGGTTTATAGAGATTGTTTACTTGTTTCTAGCGATTGTTTATTGATTTCTAGAGATCGTTTACTTGTTTCTAGAGATTGTTTACTTGTTTCTAGAGATTGTTTACTTGTTTCTAGAGACTGTCTATTGATTTCTAGAGATTGTTTACTCATTTCTAGAGATTGTTTATTGATTTCTAGAGATTGTTTACTGATTTCTAGAGATTGTTTATTGATTTCTAGTGATTGTTTACTGATTTCTAGAGATTGTTTATCGAATGCTAGTGATTGTTTACTAATTTCTAGAGATTGTTTACTGATTTCTAGAGATTGTTTACTGATTTCTAGAGATTGTTCATTGATTTCTAGAGATTGTTTACTGCTTTCTAGAGATTGTTTACTGGGTTCTAGAGATTGTTTACTTGTTTCTAGAGATTGTCTATTGATTTCTAAAGATTGTTTATTGATTTCTAGAGATTGTTTACTGGGTTCTAGAGATTGTTTACTTGTTTCTAGAGATTATTTATTGAATTCTAGAGATTGTTTATTGATTTCTAGAGATTGTTTACTGGTTTCTAGAGATTGTTTACTTGTTTCTAGAGATTGTTTATTGATTTCTAGAGATTGTTTACTGGGTTTTAGAGATTGTTTACTTGTGTCTAGATATTGTTTATTGATTTCTAGAGATTGTTTACTGCTTGCTAGAGATTGTTTACTGGGTTCTAGAGATTGTTTACGTGTTTCTAGAGATTGTCTATTGATTTCTAGAGATTATTTATCGAATTCTAGAGATTGTTTATTGATTTCTAGAGATAGTTTACTTGTTTCTAGAGATTGTTTATTGATTTTTAGAGTGTTTACTTGGTTCTAAAGCATGTGTACTTAATATCTAGAAATGACTGAGGTTAAGAGCAAGTTGTCTCGTGTTTACGTATAGTCAGCAGAATTGTCCGTAGAAGTCAATAAATATTTTTGGTAGTGGATAAACTCCCTCTAAATCCTCTTGAGAGATATTATACCATTGTTATTTCATAGTAGTGTTTTCGATCCCTTTATTGATTACTTTTGTTTCGTGCATCGTGTGTCTTCCAAAATGGTGGTAATAAGAGTGTTTTGATCAGGTGTAGCTCGGGCACCTGAGTTCTGTTATGGTTGGTTATTCGTGGGTGATTTTAAAGAGGGGATCTACAGGGTGATATTTCTTGCGTATTTTAGCGATCGTGTTTTATTTTGTTTTTTGTTTTTGGGTGGTCTAGTATTGTAATTTATGTTGTAGAATAATGGATGAGGCAGGTAATAATAGTGGTTCAGCTTTACAGTGGCGAGCAAATTGTTCACAAGTGAAGTGTTTTATTCTCATTCCCGGTTTTATTGAGCCGTCTCTTCCAATATATATTTTGTTAGCGTTTGTGCTTCTGGTCTTACGTAGAACTGCATATAGACTACAACACTTAGACTACGTCACATAAACTACATTATATAGCTTACAACATATAAACTACAACATATAGACTACAACACATAGACTACAGCGCATAGACTACATCATACAACTTACAACATAGACTACACCATATAGATGCAATATATAGGCTACAACTTTTGGGCTACAACATATAGATCACAACTCTTAATAACCTTAGTCTTCGTTCAGTGTTGTGTATGTTATCTGAGTCTTGTCTCATTACATCCTTATTGTACAGTAGTGTGTCTTTGACCGTGTTCCCTTCTTCTCTATTTGAACCACTTGTAGTTTAGGTTCTCTGCCGTAGTGTAAATTCCTTGTTTATCTCGTATTTTATTATTGTTGGTGTGTAAAGGCTGATATTCTACGGTTCCTGGGGCTATTTTTTTTTTCAGTTCAGAAGTTTTGGAAAGTAAGGTATCCGGGAACTTTATTATGGAATTGTATTCTTTGTTAAGGATGACATTTGGCATTTACCTGTCCAGTACCTTATCGGGGTAAAATATTCATTATGTAAATATGTATAATGTTCACCTGCTAGTGTTTGGCTTCGTTTAGTTAAATCTTGTGGTTACTTCAAAGTTATTTAACAATTTAGCAGCATCAGTCTCCTTCTTTGTTAATATGTTTTCGTCCTTCTCCCTGGGTTTGGTTATCTCTACTTCATATTTGGTTCTAATGAGCTATTTTTTATGCAGGAAAGTCATCGCATTTGTTGTTGGGGTGTGGTATACGTCTCTCTTTCCCTTTCGTTTGTAGTGAAAGTAGATGTTTGTCTGTCTATTGTTCTTGTTGCAGTTGTTGAGATGTGCAATATGAACAATCGGCGTATTTGTTTAATGGGCAGTTTATAATTCCCAGTTTTTCCATTTTGTATCATATGAAACAATTGAGCAGTGGTGAAAAATTTGTTTGAAGAGTTGGCAGAGAGAGAGAGAGAGAGAGAGAGAGAGAGAGAGAGAGAGAGAGAGAGAGAGAGAACGATCGCAGCATCTCCTGAGCGAAAGCTATTATTATTCTGGTAAACACTATAGACTCTGAAACAAATGGTAATTCTAACATACAGTGTGTAAATTCTTTTAAAGCAAATACAATGACTACACCACATTAATTACACAAATGATATAAAGGAATGTGACGCTAGCAATAATAGTTACAAAAAGAGATGATCGAGAGACATTCTATTAAAGGTATATATGATACCCCCAGACTTTTCATCAATAGAGTAGTATGGTTTAACCTAGAAGAAATTATTTTTTGCACTGTGTTTTTGTATCTACATAAAAAGTAACAAAACATTATTCAACACACTACTCGGTGTAGGTCAGTACTAATGAGATGACTAGACCAACCACTGGACATATTAAAAATTAAACCCACAAAAATACTTCAATGGGATGTAATCCAGGCAGAACACTCTGACCTTTGTTCTGCATGTAACAATAAACAGGAAAATAGGATTAGTATATCACAAAAAAAAAAATCTCTCTGCCCACTAAGCTAACAGTGACGCTTGGCTTTTATAATTAACTGTAATAACAAATATTACCCAGACATAAACACAACCAGAACCCCGAAGCATTATTAAATTCATAAGAGCGAGAAATGAGTTGTATTTTAAATTGCTTAATGCGAAATGACGCCCAATAACGTAATCATTACACCATTGTTTTTCGTTAGTGTGTCTCGTTACAGTGATGTGGTGTGCAGGTAAGAGCTCTCGAGAGTCCCTGGCATTTCATAGAGTCTGCATTGCAATCTGTAATTGTACAGTCGCTCAAAAAAGTATCTGAAAAATATTGTTCATGACAATATGAAACAAAGGGACGAATGTTTTGGGGAAATGGTAGAGGACCAGGCGTAAAGGTGGTGGCCCTGCATGCCACAATGGTTGCCATGTAATATATAAGACGTTTTTTGCTATTTATCATTAACGTGTTTCATATGAATATAATCAATATGGTTATATTAACAGGGAATGACAGTCTAAATAGACATTATCTATGTTAGACACATACAGTAAACAATATGTGCGTGGTAATGCTTAAATGTTCCACTGTGCAACAACAACAATTAAATGCATATGTTGACTGTTATATCCATACGTAGCATTTGGTATGTATACATGTATTAGCTATCAGGGTATGTTATATTAATAGGTAAGGTAAACAGTAATGGCATCTCACATTTATTGAATTAAAATTTGGTGTAACCACCTCCCGCGTCCTGAACACATTGTTTGGGTTCATAGCACCATGCCAACTATAATCTGTGGTCGATACTGTGTTTCACATAGGGCATCAAACATGCTATCTCTGGTGTTATACTAGTTTCATACAGGTAAGACTATAATACAATGTTTACAATTTACATGTCGATGGATACTTGTAATTATAAAGATAAACTACTCTGGTTATAAGCAGTTGCGGCACCTACACCTACTCACGCTTACCAACCTTACGAATAATACTACAGGGTTGTATTATTCGTTTTGACATCCATTTGACCCCACGTCTCAGATACTTTTTTGAACGTCTGTACATTAGTAAACAAAAAAAGTTCCGCGAAATTATTTTATTCATCGAAAATACTGTTTTAAAATTCCAGTTTACTTTATTTTCAGCGTTTCTTAATTCTGGAATTTTTTAAAGAACTATTCTAACATTTAGTCAAAAGATAATATGGCTGCCATCATAGAGTTGCCAACAGTCACAAGTTCAGTGTTCCAAACTGCATTTTATTTTATTTCATTATATTTCAGTAGTAAGATATTGCTTTTTTTATTTATTTTTTATTTGCAAAGTGTTGTTGGCCAGAAGTTAAGAGACATGTTAAATGCCAAAAGTGTCCCATTGATATACGTACAGTCTTGTTCAAGATTCTTTAAACACTGCTGGAGAAGCTGGCAACTAAAGGCCGTTTGTTTACTATGGTACATAGTAAAAATTATGAATAAATGTAAAAGTGATCGATGATTGGTTACTTAGTTCCCCGTTGCTTAATTTAATGGTTGGGCTTTGTTGTTCAGTATTATATTATACTACGTAAACAAACGGCTTTCAGTTACCAGCTGTCTCCAGCAGTGTTTGAAGACTGTACAAACTCTCTCCTGCTGGTGTCTTAAAATTTTGTCTTTTTCACGTGAATTAAATCTTTAATTTCAGCTTCTTTTAGATGGTAGTTTTTCTTCTATTTCCTCTATTATCTGACAGGTGTGGCTGAATCCACCATCAGTGAGAAAAATATGATGAAGGTATTATAGTCTTCAGCTCTCCTTGTGCAGTATTTTTAAGTTATTCATCACTCACAATTTTCCAATTTTCTGTTTTCTTTATATTTGTACTTCAACTTGACGTTTCGTGGCATCTTGGCGAAGTAAAAATTGTTGGTGTAGTGATTGCTGACGAAATTATTTTTTTACGATGTTATTCTTTTGAGTGTTACTGTTAATGTCGCGGATTGTGACTAAGCGGGGATATGTAAAGCCCACCTGCTCTCTCTACAAGAGCCCGCAATGTTGGATCCTATGCAGAAAGTTTGTGAAGGGAATATAAGTAAGTACAGTATGTGGACCCTCAGCTTGGTCACGGGCTCCAGGCTGAGTCAGCGGGATGGGGATAAGCCGCGGCCTTCTTTCGTATCTCACTCCTGGGAGGAAGGGAGGTATTTCCCGGAGGGGACTTGGAGGCGAATACATCTCCCATGGGGTTCAGGTCCGTCGGTTGGAGCGAAACAGGAAGGCATTAGTGAGAAAAAGTATTAAACCACTTGTACAAGTGTCCCAACGTGGGCGCCTTCCTGGCCGGCTGAGCTGTCCAAAATAGCGTTTCCTCAAAGAAGACCGTACCGCGTCATCCGCTGTCCTGGTGAAACTCACTTGGGTAGTATATTCGTGGGCTTTATGAAAGCGTTGCCTTAAGATTGCCAGTGATTTATTTTTCTAAGCATTAGAAAGTCTCTGAGACCAATTATTGTAACATACAACAGTAGGGTCTGGAAATCTTCATATAATGTTAGAATCATAGAATATTTAAAGTCAAACATTGATATTTTAAATTTACCAACAAAATAGAACTTATGCGTCACTTTAAATTGCCCAATTAAGTCATATAGGGATAAGGAGTCGGAGGGATAACCTTTCCTCTTCCATCACCCTTAGGTAACACCACAACTAATTCTTAAAACTTAAGAGGTAATACAAAATCTTTTTAATCATAAAGTATAAAAACCTTGAATGTGAAAAAGAACTTAGCTAAAGGATGGCTATAAACCAAACCTGAGTTAGTATTCGCACAATGA